TACGTACGTACACACCCGCACACACGGACATGCATCGCTGCCCTGGTCCTGCCGTTGATCCCCCACCTTCTGCTTTGTTTTGTTTTCGCACCTGCCTGTCAAGTGTCTCGCACCCTCCTGTTGCTGGGCATTACCGCAGCGGGCAGTTCTGGTTTGAAGGTGTCGGGGGTCTACTATTTCGGCAGTTGGCCTCAGCGCCCGAGAGCGCCCGCAAGTGTCGCATGAGCGCCGGATGTCTGGCCCCGTGATCTGCTCTGCTCTTCTGCCTCCGTCCATCCTGAAATATTAGATTCTACAAGGCCTTGGGTATACAACATATTTTGACTATGTATAGGGAGGAGCAAAAAGGAAACCTGGTCCTCTCTCGGATGGTGCTGTGCGAGCGGAGGACTCCTGATTTAGCTACGATGCTTCGCTTCCGCAAGCGCTCCGGGTCCCTTCCGCGAGTTTTTGCCTCATGCAGGTGGCGATACGTCAACTGTGCACGAACCGACCGGGTCACCGAATTTTTGTTGTGTGAGACAGCTGGGCGCAGAGAGTCTTGAAGTGAACCGAGAGCAGAGGGAACTTCCGGCCGTGCGCTGCCAAGGTGCATGGGCTCCCTTCTCCGACCTCTGGCAGAATCGAGCAATTCGAAACCTGGTAGTCGCCACAGGTCGCCGCAGTGAGGCAGTGCATGCCTCCTGCAGCTCCCAGTCTGTAGGAAGCGAAGTCTGCTCTTAATTTTGCGAGTACCTGCGATTTCTCTCTTGCTTAGGTCCGTTCAGGATCTGGATTGACTACACAGGTCACGCAGATTGTAACATAAATGGAAATGCTCTCAACTCTAAAGTCTGAACCGTAAGACCTAAAGCCCTACATCGCGAACCCCGAGACCCTACACCTCTAAAGCTAAACCGATTCGGGAGCGTATTGCAGGAAGCAGGCCGCGATCTGGGAACAGTCGTTTTCCATGCGGGCTGAAGTGCGTGGTTGAAGGTTTCGGGTTTATTTCCGCAGGTAGTGGGGGATAGGGGTTGAGCGCCTATCCTAGGGCGAGCCTTCATGTGTCCCCCAAGATACATGCTTGAAGCTTCATGTGATTCATACGCTAGGTTCGCGTCTTCGCCCGCGGAATTCGAGGGTCGGCCATCCGATGCACATGTTGCAGTGTTGCCACCGTCCCTGAACCGCTTACACCCTAAATCAGAAGAAGCCCCATTAAAAGCCCGAGAAATCCCGAGACTTCAAACGCTAAACAACAAACCTTAAACCCCAAGCCCTGCAAGGCAAAGTGCACAGCTTGGGTGCTCTGGAGCACAAGATTAGCGAGACTGCAGCCGCCTGGTCCGGGAAGCCTGCCGGAAGAATATGCATACATATATAAACATATGTAGATAGATAGTTGTGTATGTACGTGTGTGTATATACACAAGTACGAAAAAGGTCTTTTGGTTAAGGGTTTCGGGTTGGGCATAGTGCTTAGGGTTTATACTGTAGAGGTTTACATTGTTGATAGGGGCAAAAATACGGGTAGACAGGGTGACAAGACTTCTAGGTTTAATGGGGTTTTCGGGAAGTTTGGGGTTTACGGTTTAGGGCTTCGAGTTGGCTTGAGGTAAGTATGTCTTTGGATATGTTTGCATGACGAGACTCGGCTGGTGAAGTCACTTTTGGTAAGAAGAGTGGCAATCGTAATGACAAACAAGAGGAGCAGTTGCTTCCCGGACCAGGGTGGCGATCGTGACCATGAAGAAGTATACAGTATATACTTAATAATGATTAATTAGATAGTTGCCCATAGCTCTAAGAACTGTATACTGGCGTTATAAAAGTTGTATAACAACTAAGCAGAACTATTCGTAATTTACATTGTGTAATATCGACACAATGACTGCATAGTGTGCCGAGTAGCACCTACAGCAATCTCTGTAGTGATAAGTATAATTCACGGGCAGCCTCCCTGACCCCACCCCCGGACTCTTTCATTTGGAGCTTTGTAGGGTTTTTAGGGTTGAAGTTTCACAGGGGTGTTTCCGAAATAGGGGACCCNNTAGTACCCTAAGTAGTAGGATCCTGAAGTTTCATAGGGTGAAAGGCTTTCGGGTCGGTAAAGGTTTAGGGTTTAGCTGCCGACCGTAGCTTCGAGCTGAGAGGCCAAAAACCCGACCAACATAGAGAAAAGCGGTGTCAGCGACTTGTTCCAGGGCAAAGTATGCGCGTCTCGAAGCGGGAGTTTTTACCTGGATTGCTGTGGGGATATCGACTCAGGGCGTGCTCCAGCAGTTTAGGCTTAGCATTCCGGGTTCAGGGTTTCGGGAGGGCGCTTCGGGGCAAAGGATTTTGGATTGAGGGCTCGGGGTTTAGGGTTTAGGGTCGTGAGTTTCCAGCAGCGCAGGTTTGCAGGCACCTGGAGCGCCTGTTCCAACAGACGGCCTTGTGCCAAGATGCTGTTGCAGTGTGATTGTTATGGGTGCTAATGCTACGTTCTCTGCCCAAGGTGTTCTTCGTGATGTGATATTGCCCTAAACCCCAAGCCGTACATCCGAAACCCTAAGCTATCGGGATGTTGGGACGCATCGAGTTTCATCTCGATGTCCCATCTTCGCTCGTTGACTTCTACTAGGGATCGAATACAGTAGCGGCACGGGTATACCTGAGCGTCGACAGTGTAGATCTGCCACCTATATCATACTCCTCTTCCTTCGGTTTCTTCTTCAGTGATATTGAACCCTAAACCCTAAACCC